TGGGTGTGTGTCTGTGTGTGTCTGTGTGTGTCTGTGTGTGTCTGTGTGTGTGTCTGTGTGTGTCTGTGTGTGTGTGTCTGTGTGTGTCTGTGTGTGTCTGTGTGTGTCTGTGTCTGTGTCCGTGTGTGTCTGTGTGTGTCTGTGTGTGTGTCTGTGTGTGTCTGTGCGTGTCTGTGCGTGTCTGTGCGTGTCTGTGCGTGTCTGTGTGTGTCTGTGTGTGTCTGTGTGTGTGTGTCTGTGTGTGTGTGTGTGTCTGTGTGTGTGTGTCTGCGTGTGTGTCTGTGTGTGTGTGTCTGTGTGTGTGTCTGTGTGTGTCTCTTTGTGTGTCTGTGTGTGTGTGTCTGTGTGTGTGTGTCTGTGTGTGTGTGTCTGTGTGTGTGTGTCTGTGTGTGTGTGTGTCTGTGTGGGTGTCTGTGTGTGTGTCTGTGTGTGTGGGTCTGTGTGTGTGGTTGCCTCTGTCTGCGTGTTGATCACAGAAGCGGCTGAAGGCCCCTGGCACACATCACCGCCTCGGTACCTGACATGTGGAAGGAGACCTCGCACGGAGTTCCAGGTATGGCACTATTGATTCTTCGAATCCGGGGCCTCATCCTGGCCAGAGACTTTCCGGAGCCGCGCAATGTTGTCGAGCACCTCGGCTAATCGAGCCATTCTTCGGAATTCTTCGCAACTTGCATTCACGCCAAACATGCCCCGGATTCCCATGGTGCAGCTTGCATTGGATGGCATCTGCGCACTGAGCGCACGACTGTGTTGTCCAGGGAGCCCAAGAACAGCCTAGCAGCCCCAAAATAGCGCGCTGGAAGGACCTGTACGTATGGGGGGCCTGCGCATGCTTGAGGTCTGAAGATGAAAGCGGCTGCCGACCGCAGAACAAAACAAGTCAGATTTGCCCTTGCTTCTTGGCAGTCTTCCAGCCCTCCTCAATGAACTCTTTGTACCTGGTGCCAAACGCAGCACACCGATCCCAGAGTCATGGCATTGAAATCACATCATGGCGTGCATGGGTTAGGTTGTGGCAATTCGTTGCGTGACGAGCATTAAGTGCAGCACTTCTCATAGCCGCATACGTTGACACCGTAAGAACCAGAGATGTCCTCTGAACGGGTACAATGCAATGCGGCTTGCATGGTTGCACTATCAAACATCACTTTGCAAGGCTCCATGGCGCTGTTGCCGTCAAAGTCGACCACATCCACACCTTCCGTACCTCACTTTTTGCAAGTAGCTGATCATCAACTGCAAGGCATCACCTCGTGTGTCAAAGTTGCTGGCTGCCAGCCCGCCCAATCTGTTGTTTGTTCGATCTCGGAGCCTCAACCCTCTCTTCATCCAGCACTATCCAGCTATCCAGATGTCGGAGCTGCCCATCCCTTTGGGAAGAGTCGGACTCAGACTCGGATGTCTTTCGACCTGAGTTCCAAACAATCACGGGAGATGCAAAACCACACATGCCCGGCCTGGGTCAGGCGGGGCCTGGCTTGCCCTGAGCGATGCCCTTCGCGCCTGCAGCAGCGCATCCTGGTGACAGAGGCAGCAAACATGATATGCGAAGCGAGTGCCACACGGTGGAAAGACTCGAGACCGTCCTGAGATCGAACCGCCGCCAAATGTTCAGAGCGAAGCTGGAGAAGGATGTCGGTTGAAAGGCCTTGGAGCCAAAAGCCGTACATGCCGTCCAGTAGGCTGTCCTCCTGGTCTGGCGAAAACGGGGCTCGAAGGATGTCATAAACCGTTACCACACTTCCAGCTGCCAGCAGGGTCGGTTCCAAAAGCCGGAGCAAAGCTAGGCCAGTTCGGAACAGCACCTTGCAGCCTTCGTGTAGGAGACAATCTAGGACTCGATGGCAAATGCTAGCTGGAAACGTGTTTATGTACAGGCAAAGGAACCAGCTCATGGAAATAGGAGACAGGTCCACATCATTCTCCAGCAAATGTTTGTGGAGACATGGCAAATAACGCATTACCAGTGAATCCAGCACTAGCATGTCCACGCGAATGTCGACCATGGTTCTGGTGTAGTATCCCTCGGGGAGCACGTCTTCTACCAGACTGCATAAGATCCAAAAGGCACTCTCCTCATCACAGAACCGAAGCAAAGCAGCGGTGATGAAGTTCATAGATTGGCAATATCCAATGTCCGGGTTTTTTGCAGCAAAGGCCAACAAAATCCGTCGCAATGGTTCGAACAAAGCTTCCTCACAGCCTGTGCGCGGCACATCAACTTCAATAACTCCAGATGCTTCGTTTTGAAGCATCGATCCCTCTGCTACAAAGCGCGGGTACAAAGACTCCACGCACTCAAAGCTGTCAGTCACAGCTTGACTTGCTCGTAACTTACTCGCTTGCCGCTTCTTTGACGTTGCACCACTGCATGCTGTCCATACAGCACAGCGGAGAGAATCTGGAACCCCAGATCTGACAGACCTGCTCACTCGATCCCAATCTCTGCGTGGAGAATCAGAGCTCGTTGCAAGCTTGTTCCAAAGGCTGTGTCGCTCACCGTCGTGAGTTCGCCTCCAACGCTCAAAAGCAGTGGACGTTGCCCCACTGCCATCCTGGCCTCCTCCGGCCACAGACTCCCACAGCTGTCTCCACTGGGCTTCAGGATCGTCAGGGTCTTCATGCTGCTCCGTTCCCGGCGTTCCCGGCGTCGCTTTCGCCATGGCCTTTTCAGATATCCGCAACCAGGTTGCGGAGAGGCCCGACAGGCTCACGGAGAGTCGCTCCCGCAAGCGTTGCCTGCGAGATCGCCGAGGCGCGTCGAGAGCACATTGCGCGGTGTCGCCTGGGCTCTCCAGGCTTTCCAGCGCGTCCAGCCCTTGGCTGTGATTGGTCCCACCAGATTCATCCATGGCTCAGCTTTGGCTTGGGTAAGCACCATGGACTCATTATGACTCATTCATAATAGAAAAGCTGAGGCCTGTCTTATGAAGTCAACAAACTCAGCACATCAAGTCCTAGCAGCCTTATATTTGTTGACGGCTAAGGAGCAAGTCTGGCACTTCTGTGATGCAACTTGCTGGGATGCATACGGCCTACTGACACAAGCTCCGCAAAGCCAGTGGCGAGCCATGCAAGTTGGATCAGAGAATGGCATTCACCACGGCCTGATGTTCAGATTGAGGCTGCCGCGCTCCAGCGCCATGGATGGATCCAGGTACTTTTGCACGACACTGTTGAAGGCAGGAAAGCAGCGCCTGTCACATTCACTGCGAGCCTAAACTTCAAGTACCTGGCGACCTGGCAAAAGCACTATGTTTGTGGCCACGTGCGCCGCAGCCATCTAATGCGTGACGAAGCACGCAGATGTGAAGCGCAAGTCGGAGATCATCTTCTTCAATTCCTGCAAGGGCCCGGCTTGCAATGGCCAATACTGCAACGCAACAGCCGCTACACTGGACATAAAGACTTCAAGTTGCGGTCCACGGAGAATTCCTGGCCTTGGAATGAGCACGAGCTCGCAAACCTGTCCATGGCCTGTGGTCAGCCAAGCTTGCGCCAAGCGGCACTTGGGATACTTCTTCTTCCATTTCTCGCTCAGGGACTGAAGAGAGGCCTCACAAAGCTTGCGGCCCTCACCGCAAGCCCACTATTCACAAGGCAGGCCTTGCGGCGGTCAGCAACTTCTTGAGAGCAGCCATCGCAAGAGAAAAACTCGGCCTGGAAAAGAGTGCCGTGCTTGAAAACGTGAAGTGCCATCAAGAAGCCTCTTCGATGGTGTACTTTGGCAAAATCTTTGAGGCATACCTGACAGGCAAATGCTAAGCGCTGTTGCTTCTGGACTGCCAAGAGTTCAACATCTTGCAACCGTGCGAGTGTCAATTTGCGGCCTGAAGGTGAGGGCCAGGGGATAGGTTGCGGCGATTGTGATCACGCGCTTGTACAGGAAGGGCACGGAGCGCAGCTGGCAAGGTCAAAAACACCCAGTTACATACATGTATGTGCCTATAAATATATATATATATATATACGTATGTACATTCACATACACTTGTGTGTATGCGTGTTGCGATTGAATGGTGCCAGGCAGGCCCCAAAAATTGCTGCAAGGATCGCAACGGTATCAGCTTGCTCAAAGCCTGAGATGAATTTATCTGCATTTGTCACTGAGGATCGGTGGCCTCACAAATCCAACAACATCTCAGACGTAGACCGAGTGCTGAAGTCAGCACCCACCACAAAAGCCTCAGAACTGAAGAGCTTGAAGGACATTGAAACAGGTCCATCATTCAAGACTCTTAGACTCTTGGACTCTTGGACTGCAGCCCTCCAGTCATCAGCCAGCAGTATGCCAATTGACCTTAGCCAATGTGCGAGACAGCCGCAACTCATTGAAGGGCGCTTCCAGAAAGCATGCAAAGCGATACGAAGGGTTCTTCGCAAAGCACTTCAAGACAAGCACGAGAGAATCACATTGATGCAGGCAAGAGAAACACACGAGCAATAAAGATATATATATATATATGTACACACGGTACCCGCCCCATGGATCTACCTTCCTTTAGAATTCACTAGTATTTGCAGTGGTTTCTTCCTGTTTTGTGGCTTTCGGGAAAGCAGCAACACCCAACCAAACTTCTCCAGGGAATCTTGAATCCATACCCGAATAAAGCTTCAGTCGATTTGGATCTACCTCTGTCCGAATTCTAAGCTAAGGATTTGTCAGAAGATGCAAAACAACAGCTATGTTGGCAAAAAGTAAATGTGAAATTTATGGAGCCAAAAGCGCAAAAGTAAAAGAGTAGGGTTCTGCATCCAATGACCCAAAGTAAAATGTCAGTCCATGGTCATGGAGCATTTTACTTCAGGACCATGGGTCATGAACTGAAATGGTTTTTGTTTTACTTGTTTACTATTTACTTGTTTCACTTGTTTACTTTTGGATCATTGGCTCCTGAATTTTGTTTTTTGTTTTTTTTTAAAGTTTGCGTGTTTATTTGTTTGCTCTTGGGTCATTGCTCCATAATTTTACTGTTTACTGTTTTCAGGTTTACTTGTTTACGTTTGGGTCATTGGCTCCAAAATCTTACTGTTTACTGCTTTTGCTTGTTTGCTTTGCTTTTGACTTTTGGGCCATTGGCTCCAGACTTTTTCTGCTTTACGTGTTTACCTTTTCACTTGCGACTCCAATATATCTATTATTGTTGCATCATCTGACCAAACCTCAGCTTAGAATTGACAGGTTTAGTATGTAGGGTTTAGGGTTCATTAACTCACGTGTATAGGAATCGGACTTATTTCTCGTAGAGGTTCTTTCAATGAATCTCATTGAAAAAAAAAAATGGCTTTGGTTCAATGAACTCACTGTTTTTGATTTGTTGTTGCTTAGAATTCAAACAGAATTCGATACGGATTTACACAAGTTTCAAATTATTGTCTCAGCATATATTTGAATGAGGTTTCTAAAGTTACTTTTCTAGGCGTGCCTTTGTTCAATTTTCTAGTTAGAATTGAAGTGGAAATCAATAGGGAAAGAAACCTGGCAGAGTGTCTGGTTTAAAGAGAAATAAAATAGAAATCCTTTAAAAGAAGATGTGTAATCGAAATTATTGTTTGCAATTCGGTGTTCAGACGGGTTGTATTTGTTTGTTATAATTTAACATGAAGTTACTATGGACATAAGTCTAGTAGAACTTCTAGCGTTAAACAGAATCTAAATAGTTGTTTAAAGACGGGCTTTAGTAATTGGAACTCTTGTGTCAAATGTCAAATTAGATGTTCAAAGGGATGTTCCTTTCCAGGATGATTTGTTCAGCTCTCTAATTAGCATTTGACTAGAAATTAAAAGTGAACCGAGCCAATAGAATTTCTAGACTTAAAGATGATTTGCATTGAATAGGATTTCCTTTTTAAGAATGTTGTTAATTGGGATTATACTTCAAATTACATTCTACAATTTGCATGGAATTTAATAAGGAAATCATTCTAGTATAATGTCTAACTTTGAAGATAAACTTGAATCAGAGCTCCATTTCAAACAAAAACAACAATTGGACTCGTTATCCCAAATAAGATCTTGAAGAGGATCGCCTTGCTTGGGGTGAGCTGATGCTGGTCAAGTTGCATGGGTGCAATCCAAATGAAACAACTGCATTCCACCTCCAAAAGGGCCTTCAAACAGCACAAAGGTAGATCCATCGGGCGGAGAGGAGCATATATATATATATATATATTATGTTGATATTGAATATATATATATATATATATATTATATATATATGTATATATATATATATATATTCAATATCAACATAATATATATATATGTATGTATGTATGTATGTATGTATGTATGTATGTATGTATGTATGTATGTATGTATGTATGTATGTATGTATGTATGTATGTATGTATGTATGTATGTATGTATGTATGTATGTATGTATGTATGTATGTATGTATGTATGTATGTAACGTATGTATGTATGTATGTATGTATGTATGTATGTATGTATGTATGTATGTATGTATGTATGTATGTATGTATGTATGTATGTATGTATGTATGTATGTATGTATGTATGTATGTATGTATGTATGTATGTATGTATGTATGTATGTATGTATGTATGTATGTATGTATGTATGTATGTATGTATGTATGTATGTATGTATGTATGTATGTATGTATGTATGTATGTATGTATGTATGTATGTATGTATGTATGTATGTATGTATGTATGTATGTATGTATGTATGTATGTATGTATGTATGTATGTATGTATGTATGTATGTATTGTACAAACATGTGTATCATGTGTATAGTGTACAATATATATATATACTGCTATGTACATGTGCAAGATACACTTGGAGAGGCGAGACATGGGAAACTTGGGATGTCCTCCTGGTTTGTGTGGGAAATTTGCCCCCCTACCAGATTTTGTCACATGCTCCAGAGAGAGCAGGGTACATTTGCAAGAAACGCGTGAGCAAGATTCACGTGTTGCACGCACCATAGAGCTGACGCCACCACATGCCGGCTGGTGCATTGAGGCTGTGGCCAATCTTGCCAAAGGTCATGACAAAGAACAGCACGACCAGAAACCTGAATGTTTCGCATGTGCCCGCAAGGGTGTCTCCGTTAAATTCTGAGTCACATGCTTGACAAAGAAGCCTGTGTGGGCTTCCATGCCAAGACTCATGGCCTCGGCACAGGAGACATGTAGCTGACGCTGCACCTGTGCAATGACGAGCTTGCTACTTGTTAGCCGGCCGATCGCAGCCCAGGATTGCTCCGACTATGTCTTTCTGTCTTGGACCAACAACTGCGCACGTTGCGGCTCCATCACCGAAAGTCGCCGTACCAACTGGCCACTGATGCAAGGCAATCCGTCACCTTTCACTAAGCGCATTCCATGGTAGGGTAAGCGCGAAAATTGGAACGGCTTGGACGTTTGGAAGACCATCTTGGTACTGATTAATTTGCAGCTCAAACAATCCGCTTCTTGTGGGCGTCCAAGGGTAGTGCTACAGACGGTGCCGCAGATCGAAAACTGCGCTCGGCGCGATGCAATAACTTGGAAAAGCAGGCCCGGCCGCATGTCGAGGCAGCTGGGCGCATAGCAGGGCAAACTTGATTGTTGGTTTAGGCTCTCCTCTTACGTAACACAAAGAGTGAAGGAGTGTCCATCACTCGAAGTCCGGCGTCAACGAACCTCTGAGTCCACACTCCAGAGCCTGGCACTACCCGCTGGCCCTCAGACAAACTTTCGGAGCCCAGCCTTTTGTGGGCTTTCGGAACATCTCCAGCCCGAAGAGTGAGAAAACCGTCTCTTTGAAGCTGACCCTCGTAGCAAGGCTGCGACATTGAACATGTCTGTGTTCGCCGCGCCTGATTTGCCGGTCGTCCAGGATCTTTCGTTCCGCCTCCAGCGACAATGCTAGCAACTCAACAAAAAGCGATTCTTCGCTGGTTTGATTAACACATGTCTGATGCAGCAGGTGACTATGACACGCCTCCAGCGCAACACGAAGAGGGCCAAATTCCACTGCATTCACGAATCGTGTGTCGTCAACGAACGTTTGCCTGTGGCGTCAGCAGCTCAATGCCCGGACACGACATGTGAGTGCTGCCAGGCCGCGTCACATCACCAACCAGTGGGCCAATCTTGCCGTTGGAGCTCCCCTCAGCGGTACCTGCAATCGAACGTCAAAGCAAAAAGTTGCTTGCAATTTGCAGGCGGCTGTGTCCCCACTTAGCTGCTGCCGAAGCGCTGTACACAAGATCCTACAGTGGAGCATGCGCACGTCATGAGCAAGGATGAACACAAGTTGCGTCATGCTACATCCAACAGTTCTGAAAGCTTGGAATAGTATTTCACATGGCATTTCCAAATTGCTGCCTAGCATCCCACACCCCGTTCAGGGTCATCTGCGCTGGCTGCGACGGACAGGAAGCCTCCAAAGCAAACGCAGCGGCCTCCACCTGCACAGGGCAGTGGATTCGAAAGGCTCGTCAGGCACGCTGCACTGTGCCTTTGCCCGGGTGTCTTCATCGGCGCCCACTCCATTCTTCGGGGCCTGGCGCTGGCGTCAGTCCAACAACCGCCTCATGGCATCGATGCCTCTTCGCAAGCAGCCACCAAAGCCTGCAGTCGCACCAACTGCAGGTGCACAGAAGTCACAAACGCAAGGGCCTTCTTTCGGTTCACTGTCTCCTGTTGATCTGGCCGGCCAAGTGCTGCAAGCCACTCCAGCGGCGAGCCTCAGCTGCGCCATACGCTTTGCCATGCTGTCAGTGACTCAGACTCTCCAAGCGATCTGAGGCTTTGCCAGGGTGCCCATGCGGCGCTCAGCTAGCAAAGCACCCAGGCGCCCTTCCTGGTCCAACGTGGCAACTCCTCCTAGCGCAGTTTCGGTAAACGAGCGACTGCCTCGAAAAGACAAGCAAGCCATGTACCTCGGAGAAGAAAACTGATAGCCGCTGCATCAGATGCGCATCTGTTGGCTCCTATGCCGCCATCATTGCAGCCACCCAACTGCGTTGGGCCGAGCCAGGTGGAAGGCATTGAGGTGCGTCCCGTTCTTCGCCCAAGCTCCGCCCTCACTGCATATCCGTCCTCGGACAGACTGCCCATGTGCCGCAGACCTATATGTCCTGCCGCACAACGGCTTGGCAGCCAGGCAACTGGTTCCAGGTCGCATTCATACACCTCAATCTGCTCTCCATAATCCTCTTCAAGGATTTGTTTGGCTCGCAAGCAGAAGGGGCAGGTAGAAAAGGAGAACATCATGATCCTCAGCTAATGCTCTGAGGATCTGTTCAGCTTCAACTAAGTGCTGCGCTGCCAACACTGAAATACATAACAGTACATCGCTGCAGGTGAAGAACTTGTTGGAGTTGATCTTGTCGTCGATGAGTTGTCCAATCCGCTCTTCATCATAGTCTCCAGCCAATTTGTCTGCAATGAATTGTTTTGCCTGCGCCAAGGGACCCATCTGTGATAATCGCGAAATTTGCTGCGTCACAGAGTCCGAGTTGGCCCACTCCTTACAGTGCAGCCCTACCACGTGCCCTTTAAATGACAATCGCTTGAAGAAAGCGGCAGAACGGCAGAACTCCCCGGATCCAACAAGTCCGCGGCCGAGCATCGCGGGGCTCGCCGCTCCAGTTCCCGTTGCCCTCGCTGGGCGTCTCAGAGGCTGACTTCACGCGCTGGAGTTCGGCAGCTTCCAAGGCCTCGCAGATAAATGCATATGTATGCGGATGTATGTGTAAAAAAACATATATATATATATATACATGGTCACCCCCCCCCCCAGGGTCCACCTTTCCTCTCTTCTAGTTGAAGGTGTCAAGTCTACTCCGTGTGCCTCGTTCTTGCAGATGAAATACAGTGTTTCTGTTGGTGCTTTACCTTCTATATGACAGTAAATGCTTGCTTTGTTTACGCTTGAAAGGCAACAAAGCGAAAACGGAATCCGTTTTCAGATTCGAGTCTAGCTTTGTTTGAAAACACTGGTTTTTTTACAGTGGTTTTGAGTCTGAGACCTGCACATGCCAAACAAATGTCCAGACCAATTTTGGGAGTCTGAGAATATTTGCCCATTGTTTGTTTAGCCACATTTATTCTAAATCATATATGGAAATGACTATTTAGAAGTCTTTACATTAAGACCCGTCAACTCTCGTAAATAAGATTGGGAATTAGAAGGAAGCGAGGTAATGAAAGATGAAAGATTAGGAAAGAAGAAAGTGAAAGAGATAGGACACGAGAACCTTTCTCTCTTCGTAGCTAATATCCTTTCCATTTCTAATCTTAGGATTTACACCACATATCTTCCACAATCTATTACCCGTGAATACATTGTGAACAGAGCGTAGATCTCCCCTATCAATCTAGATGAATTAACAGGAAAAGAAAGGTAAATAGAAAATAAATGTTGTAAAAAAAAATGAGAGGGATACCGGCGAATCAAAGATAGAGATATGAAAAAGAGATAAGCCGCGAGAAGCACACTTCTTGCGTATATGTGCTCACACCCCCTGTCTTTAAAATAAGAGGATATTGTGCATTTTGAAGTGGACAGGTAGGCCCTGCGGGGGAGGGGGGGGGGGTGAGCATATATATATATATATATGTATACTATGCATATCAGCGGTGACTAACAACTGAATTTCTATAAGAAACGAGGAGATGTTACAACTTGCGGCGCAAAACAAACTGGGCAAGAGCACTATGGTCGCAATGATGCCCAACCAACAAAACAATCAATTTGCAGGTCTGCTGGCCACTCTGTCCCGCTGGGAATGGGAACTAGCCGAGGACCAATTACTAAAAAGATACTGAACCATGGGTAAGCTTCGCTGGGCGTCAACATCATCGGTTTTGGTATGGTATGCAGGGATGAATGGGTCGTGGTAGGCAGTAGGAGGATGATGGAAGGGCCCTTCATGAAAGAGCTTGGAAAAACCAACGCGAGATTGGCATGCAATCTCAAGGGTTGCAGATCGAAGCCTGGTTGAGCATTCATGTTCGTTGCTCATACTGTACAAGGGTCTGAACGTGCATCAGCAACGCACATCTGATCGAGCCAAATGTTCTTGTTCCGGCTGGGCTCTGGAGCCAACGCCTCTAATTTCGCAAGGGGTTCAGGCTACTGTTGCCAGGAAAGGACAAATTGATGGCGAGCCTTCACTCCTGAAGTGATCAAGTTGTCCAGAAGCGGGCGCTCCATGGTCTGCGTCTTTTCCGTTGCCCTGACTTTGGGAAGTCCTTGGCGTTGCAGTGCACTGCACCCACCCAAAGAGGTGACAACTCTTCAGCGCATGTCTCACTACTGCCGCACTTTGAGCCAGGGTTCTTCGCGTGACTGTCACTGCCCCTGCCAGTACAGCAGCCATTGCCGGGGTCGGCGGCAGCTTCCAACCACGGGGGTTCGCGGTGTGCACATGCCGGGCTGGAACTGCGCTAGGCAAGCCTGGCATGGCTAGGCTTGCGAGTTCAGATCAAAAGATCCCCTGCCTGAGACGTGCGATGGCAGTGCCAGCTGCATTGCAACAAGGCGAAGAGGCTAGTGCCAGAGCTTCGCCGCGATGCGTCCTTTGGGCTACTTGTCCCCTGGCTCGTCAAGGTTCTTGTCTCACGTGCCACAGACCCTCCAAGATATCAACTCGCCCAAGTACAGGCTGATTTGGCTTCCCCTGTCTGCTCAACCCAAAGCCTTGAGCCATGTTGAACATGCTGAAGCCGCAAGCACATGTGCTTTGACAAAGTAGGAGCTGCTTGCTTGCCGTTCGTATCTTTTACTCCTCTACGTCGTCTTGCTCGCTTTCCACGCTTAGTGAGGCAAGGAAGGATCGTAGAATCTTCAACGGCCTTATGAGCTCAGCGACTCACCAATATTGGAGCTAGCAAAAGCGAGGTTCTTTGTTGGACCCTGGGCCACTGTGTAAACGCATCAAAAGACTGGTATTTGTTCATCGAGGAATCACTCAGGCAGGAGCTGGCTGGATCCCAAGCCGCAGAGTATTGCGGCCAAGAAGGACAGACCAGTCACCTGAGTCACTGCGTGCACAAGTGCCCCACCCCTTGGTGCAGATGACATCTTCTTGAGCGCGAATCTAAGGCTACAGCAATGCCAAAGCCGATAGCATAGAATGCTGCCGGTGACTTGCCTGTTCATTGCACGGTCCATCTTCCACAACTAGTCTTGGAACTGCCTGGTCCGCCAAAGGCAACGGGCTGGTTGCGGCCTCCCCATGACCAACCTCACAGCTACTGAAGAGCTCAACTACTGACGTGTCACGCGGGGATAGTAAGTGCCGCAGTGTCACATGGTGCTAGGCCATCTGGATAAGAGTGCCACTGCGAAGCAAGCAACCCTCCTTTAGAGACTACTTCCGACCAAAGTCAGCAGAGGCACCCATGAGAAGTATGTCTCCCTAATCGTCTGCAAAGATACTGCAGACTAAGCCTCCCACCCCAGACTTCCCACCTCAGCCATGGACAAAAGATTGTCCTTGTCACTCGCTATGAAATGAAGTCGCATCTCTGCTTTCTTAGCTCTTTGCCACTCCCTGCGAGCTTGACCTGGATGTTGGACCTTGCACCCAGACACTGTCATACATATATATATATATATATTATAATTTATACATACGTATGTTTAATATCGTACTTTCTAACGGCGCGTGTCCAGTTGTGCCAAATCTTATCAGCAAATCTCCGGTGCACCAAGCGCAGCACTGTCTTCGTGCCTGCGGACATGGGAGGCGGAGGCGGCCTCTCATCCGGCGACAGCGCCTCATGTCCCAAATGTGGCCATCCGGCGTGTCATAGCTGATGCACTCAGGGGCACGCCAGCATGAAGCTGGAATAGTCTGGCCAAGTCCCTGGTAGCCTGATGGTATTTAAGACGCCACGGTCTTCTTTCAGCGGCGCTGAACACCAAGGTGACACTTTGAAACCTTGACCCGCGCACAAGTGTTTGCCCCACCGCAGTCTTTGCGCATCAGGTTGCTTCATTTTGAAAGCGTTTGGTATAACTCCTCTGCTCTGCAGAGAGTTCACTCAAAGCGCTTGCGCTTCAGTCCGCGAAGGGCATCCTGCTGCGCGTCAACGACCGACTTGGTCACCGTGTCGTTGAGGCCTGCAAGTTGACTGCTGGGCACCAATGCACAAGTATGGGGCACCAATCATGTGCAACATCGGAAATGGAATGCCATGTGTTTTTTGCAGGGTCAGTGCTTGCAAGAGGTAGGTGCGCCTGAGTTGGAGAGAGTGACCTTCAACATCACCTCAGGCCAGTCTGTGGAAAGCTTCAGAAACCTTGGCTGAGCAGCAGAGATCGAAAAAGGAGAATTCAACAGAACAAAAATCCCCACGCGCGATGAAGGCAAAGCAATCCACCCAAGCTAGTCAAGCTTGTAGGCTTCTCTTGTGTGCAGGTCTTGAAGTCCATCTTGTAGCCGCATGCTTTTGGGACCAGCATTGGAGTTTTCAGTGGGCTTGCAAAAGCCCGCACTGCCCGGGTCTCCTGCACCAGCCCCGTTTACATCCCCAACATAAGTTCAATCATTCTCTTTGTTTGCCTGGTTTCTCTTGATTCCGCTAAAGCGTGCGTGATCCTGCGTTCGTGCACCTGTGTGCGTGCACGTGCACACAAGCACGCACACGCGCACGCAAGCACACAAGCACACACAAGCACACACAAAAGCACACACAAAAGCACACACAAAAGCACACACAAAAGCACACACACACACAAAAGCACACACAAAAGCACACACACACACAAACAAGCACACACACACACACAAGCACACACACACACTAGCACACACAAGCACACACACACACACACACAAGCGCACACACAAGCGCACACACACACACAAGCACGCACACACAATCGCACACACAAGCGCACACACAAGCGCACACACAAGCACACACACAAGCACACACACAAGCACACACACACACACAAGCACACACACAAGCACACACACACACAAGCACACACACACGCACACACAAGCAGGCACACACACACACACAGAAGCACGCACAAGCAAGCACGCACAAGCACGCATAAGCACGCTCAAGCACGCACAAGCAAGCACGCACAAGCACGCACACGCGCACGCACGCACGCACCCGCACACACACACACACATGCACCCACCCACTCACCCAACCACCCATCCACCCACCCACCCACCCACCCACCCACCCACCCACCCACCCACCGACACACACACACACACTCTCTCTCTTATGCAGGCAGGCGCACACCCACCCAGCCACCCACTCACCCACCCAGCCACCCACACAGGCGCACGCACTCAGGTGCACATACGCAGGCTCACGCACGCAGTTGCAGGCACGCAGGTCGCAGTTGCACGCATGCTAGGTACACCTACGCACGCACGCACGCACCCATGCCACCACGTCACCCCGGGGTGTTGGCAACAGCCTCCAGGTTCTCCCGGATGAAGGTGAGGCAAGCAATCTGCAGCTGCTTCGCGTCGAATAAGTGAGCCTCCCAAACAGACGAAAAAATGGGGATGAATGTACAAGCACGGCAATCCTTGGAGCACAACCTGGCTTTACCACCTTGAGAAGCAACAAGAGTCCATTCACATGATCCAAAGGTCACTTAGTCAGCAGTTGTTGGTGGCGGCATTCAAACTTGGGCCTGGCACAACAGTCCAGAGACCTCACTGACCGTCATTCGACTGCAAAGCCGCTGCTCGCACCACAGTTGTAATCGTTGAACCTGCGCGACGCCATCAGCTGACCACTCATTTGATGAGTTGATGACATGTCACAAGTTCCATTTCACCACAACTGCGATTTGACTTGGGCCTGATAGCGGTGGCTGATCTGCAGAAGCTGCTGCAATAGCTGTATCCTGCGAGTGATCAGTGCCACCTGCCACATGTGTCGCTAAGGTAAGGCCGAGTGTCTCTGCATTGACCTTGGCCATGTTTGCGCTTCTGTCGTCCGTCTCTGTGTTCGACCCACAGACGTGCTCCACAAGATCTTGAATATGATCAAAGTCATCCTTGGTGGCCACTGGTCACGCATTAATTGCCGCATACTGTGCCACCCCCCCCCCCCGACAAGATAACTGCATTTTGGGGGTCCTCCCTCGGATAAATCCGGAGCTGGTCAGTCCGACTCCAGTCTGGCCAACAGGACGGCAATAAGAAAGTACAGGAAACTGCATTCTCTTATTTTTCAGGGCTGGAGGGGGCTTTGTCTTATTTGGGGGCCTTGAAGGGGGGGGTTTCTTTAACGAGCTTGGCAAAACAAGTGTGTTAGTGTTTGTTTAAACAAATTGTAGTATGAATTTGCTGTTTCCGGCTAGCCTTTTTTGACTTCTGGAATGGCAAGTTGTATTTTCCTAATTTTGGACCGGACAGGGGCGTCTTTAATCAGAGGGGTTTCTGGGAGGTGCCCCAAACAAATTGAGACGGTTTGTTTCGGCCAAACTTTAATCAAAGGGGGTCCAGCAATCAAGTTCTAACATTGCAAAACGACTGCCTCCAGACGAACTCTGACTATATAAGCACGAACTCAGCATTTCAGTCAGGCATCCGTGTACAGAAATTGAAGCATCGCCTCGAAAATATCAACCTCGCAGTCTTCGACCACGATCTCTTTGGAGATGGATTCCCGCATTCCACCAAGCAGCTCGCTGGAAAAAAACTCAGAACGAGCCAAAAGAATCTGCGAGTGGGCATGAACAGGTTTTCCTTTCACGAGGAAGGTCACGTCACTACCCCTGCCAGTATCCTGAGCTCGGGCTGTGTGTCCAATGCCGCCCAGGGTTGCCAAAGTGACAACATGGTTGACTTCATATGTCTTGCAGTGCCTACAAGCTCTTTTGCAGGGCAAGAAAAGGCAAAGCAAATCCTTGCCGAGCATCAAACAAATCGCGGAAGTGCGAGCACAGCGAAGCCGACGGCACCTCTATCCGCGAAGTCTTTAAAGTCTTCGTGTGAAAGCCGTCTTCAGGAGGCAACACCTCCACCTTGATCTTTGCAGTCAGCGCATCGCCGCTGACCCATTCAGACCGAAGGAGCTGCCTGAGATCGCCACACAAAAGAAAGCCAAGGCCGCCTCCCATGCCGAGCGGCTCGTGTGTAAGACCAAAGATGCCCACCAGCTTGGCTGGACCGTGTCCTTCATGCACATCCGGGCCGAAGGCCCGGCCCAAAGTGTCACTCTGAGGATGGCTTTCTTCCTCAGGCGCGACCAGGGCGGTGGGTCCAAAGCCAGTGCTGAGGCACGCACGGTCATGGAGCCCCACGGAATAAATTCTCCGTCACTGCGCTTGATCAAGAACTGATGGCGAAAGGTGATCCCCCCACTTTCGTTGTGGATGATTGCAAGCGTTCCTCTCTGGCTCTCATCGCCAATCTCCCCACCTTGGGGATGATACACCTCGGTGTAACATCTCAACAAAAGAGACAACATCTCGGTCGCAGCTGTACTGTAAATGCACCCAAGGCACGCATTCAAAGCTGGTGTCGCCAACCAAGAATGGCTGCTCGGCAGCAGCTACGCATTGCGCCCTCTTTT